TGTGCGCCTGCTCTGTAACTGCTGACCCCAGACCTCTTTTAAAGAAGTGTTCATTGTTTGTGTCTCCACGATTGAAGTCTGTCTTCTCTCTCTCCGTCATGCTCTGATATCTAAGGGTGAGCAATGATAACGGTAGGGAACTTTTGTGTAACCTCGGCAAGGGACTAATTATTTATTTGGTAGCTTAAGCAAACCACGACAATGTCACCAAACGAAAGGCTTAATGAGTAGAACAATGGTTCTGCACGTGCGTTTTGAATCTTGGTACATTTCTTACCCGTCATCTGCAAAACAACAACTTCAAATGGCCAAGTTCTACGTTTTTGGAAAACGTGAACCGCAATGGCTAATTTTTCCTATCTTTGGATTGCGCAAGTGCTAAGACCAATAGGCGTACTGAACAGATCTACACAGTTGCGAAATTCGAAGGTAAAATATAAATCCATTTTTCACAAGGCGTCGTACCCTAGTCATGGTATTTGTTTTCGGCTAGACTTCAGAAATAAAGCCAATAATGGTAGATCACGTGCCAACTGACCTGTCAATCTCTTGCCATGAAAGCGAGGCTTCCGAGAGCCTGGACTGCGTATTTTCTGCTCGGGAAAAAAACACACACAAGATCAGAAGCCCGTTCCAAATGTCAAGTTAGTTGGAGCTGAGCAAAATATACATTGTGCTATCGTTTTTTGGCTAAAAAATTGCCAGTTTCAGCAGGTTTGAGGGATTTTTGGGTTCGCTGTTTACTTGGGTGTTTACTATACACGCAAAACACAACGCAATGTCCCCGAACCGTGGCCAGGGCCTGACCGTGCTGTGTTCTTGGGCAACACTTTACTCCCACAGTGCCTCTCTCCCCTCAGATGTATAAATGGGTACCGGCGAACTTAATACTGGGGGTAACCCTGCGATGGACTAGCATCCCATCGAGGGGGGAGTAGAAATACTCTTAGTCGTTTCATGCTACACAACTGGGATCTCCGGCTTAGTCAGCCACTTGGCTCGCATGCAGACTTAACCTCTACCGTTTACTATACAAATAATAAAGATCATTATCATTTGCTATAAAAATGTAAATGTAGACAGCACGCAAACAGTTTGTCTGGGCTCCCTTTACAATTACTCACTTTCAATTTCATCGGTAGGTGTATCTCTCCTTGGGCTGTCTGTGGTGCTGCTCGTGGGACTCGTTCCACGCAGGCATTCAAGTACCTGAAACATTGTTAGCATCGGAATTTTAGGGTGTATCTAACTTCAAACAGTCGGGAGAAATGACAGCCACTTTTTCAGGCGCCTTCCTCCTGCGATATCA